ACTATTTCCAAAGATGAGAGCGTACATGCTGTTTTAGCACAATTAGTTTTATTACTTTTTCGTTGAATTTACACATTTTGTATTCTTTATTCAACTTTTTAAAGCAGACTTTAAGGTATGTTAGGTATGCAAAAAAAGTACTAATACTTCACTGTCATCAGTATCTACAATTTTATTCATTAAGGCGGTAGTAGCTTCTTTCATAAAAAATAATTTTATATGGTATATATTCCAAGGAACTACGAACGAATTTTCTGCTAATCAAAGGAATTCGAACAAAATTTCTTCAGAGAAAAGTAAACTTTTATTTATTCTAATACGAGATACAGACATGTCCAAATAGAATCAAAATACACTCGGGAAGACACTAAACATACGACGAAATTAATCGTTTTTTTTCGCTTCAGTTTGGCTCGGTCCCCTTCTTAGTTTATTCCTTATGTCTCCGTCTCTGTCACCCCTGTAAACAGCATTCTCAACTTGTTCGAGATATAAGTATATTTTCCACGTTTTGCAACAAAACAAACAACTCAATGAAGGACATAGCTCTCAATATATAAGTTGTCATTTACTTCCGTTGTCTGAACGTGTACCAACACAGCGTTATAATATGTCTGAGCCACTAATTTTTTGTGGACCTTTGAGACTTGTAATAGCTGTGAAAATGCTAAGCCCAAATATTACGTAGGTCACCAAATCAACTGTTTTCTTCTGCCCTCAGTGTTATAAGTCTTGCCCCAGTTGTATTGCAAGAAATTGCATCAAATGTTAATTACAACTCGCCGAGCAAAATATATTGAATATACGTTTCATAAATAATGTTAACATTAAAATCATCGGGGATAACAAGTACTATTTTAAGTGCGTGACTTAAATATTAGTATTCAACCATTAAATTTTGAATTCAGCACAGGAAACTTCAAATATTTTTTTCAAAAATATGTTAAAAAGTGTATTATTTATATTTTAAGTAACTATTTATTATAATTAATATATTAAAAATTGTTAAATTATATTAAATTCTGGTTAAGTAATTGTTGAATGCTCCTCCACTCCGTAAAAAATTACGAACATTTTGGGACTATATATATCAACATTCTGGATTTTTTCCTAACTATTATTTCAGTTTAATGTAGGTAATATTTCTATTGATGATAATAATTAATACAAATTTCTAAAATAAATATTAAAAGCCGACAGTTTATATAATACACGGAAGGAGTAACTTCTACACTAATAGCACAAGGGCTCAAAATTCAATGGCACTTTACGTAACCGATGAAAGGGCACTTGGAATCAAATGTTTCCTACATCAAATATATTTTAGTTTAATGCCGGTCTATTGACCTTAAAAGCGGAGATAAATTCCTCCATTCACAGCGAGATGCCGCTTATTATCAGTATGGCTGAATAGCTGCCGACGTTTTTGTACTTTCCCTCACCATACTTCTAATACAGGAGCACACAGGAGTTAAACGGAACCCTCAGAAATATTTTGAAGATGCGGATGTAACTAAGAACTTATTAGGGAGTTTATGACACCTCGAACCATAGAGGTAGTAAGAAGCACTATCGATCTCCTGCGGATGCGCAATTTACGTATCGCACCACTTTCGTGTATCTCCGCTTGCGCAGATGATCGGTGGTGCTTTACGTTCGAGGTGGCACACACACACTCCCTACTGCAAGGTACAGCGCATGGCAGCGTTCAGCAATCGACGGCAATCTCGATCTTTTGCGGATGCGCAAATGGATATTATACGCGCACGTTTTCTTGAGCCCAGGAATACTACCCCCACTCCTTTGCTACCATTGGTTGAAATGATAATAAATGATACAAAATGGAGTTGTAAAAAAAATCTGACAACCAGAAATGTTCGATTCCGTGTAACTATTTTGTATCGAAAAACGAACTCTAAATATGGCATAGGTTATTTTGACTAAAATAACTTTAACTCCCCACTCATCTCTCAAATAGCGAAACGAGGGCTCAAGAAAACGTGCGAGGATAATTAAAGTGATGCGAAACTCAATCTGCGCTTGCTCAGAAGATGCTGTTGATTGTAATGCTTCGCCCCGAAAAACTCCCTTGTCCTGTACCTCCCATTTATGTAGGTAACGTTGCCAAGACTCCCAAGACTCTTACGTACAATCTTCATGGCAAGAGGGCAGTTATCCAAGGAGGTTGTAATAAGTTTTATAACCTCCTTGCATCATGATCTCTAGGTTGTCAAAGAAGTGGACAATCTGTACTGCGATTTATTCAAAGCTGCCTTTGGCAGGTCTTCAGCTGTTACACTGTTGTCCAATCGGAAACTGAAACGTCACTACAGTGACATCATTTTCATGACGTTTTACCTTTCGATTGGATGATATCGAAATATGTAATGTACGCCATAGGTAGCTATGTAGAAATCGCAGTATATGTGGAGATTTGATCGTGATGTTATGTTGTTTCAGTTCGTTACTGTTTGTTTTCCATGGAGTGAGTGGTAAATGTTCAGTAACAGAGCCTTAGACAAAATAAAAGATTAATAGACCCCCAAAGAAGCGAGGTTATATTAAATTTTGTATTCGAAAGCAATAAAAATTCTATCATTGGCTGAGTAAAATTTGAAAGCTTCTGTTTATTTATATCAGTTTTCTCTTTAGTGCTTCTGAACTAGTGTATTGGTTAGAATAGGCATGCGATTTTTTTCCAATAGAAGTGGTGTGTTAATTTTATTATAATTTTTATACGCCAAGTGCTCTAAACGTGTGTATAATCGATTTCTGGTGGTCTGTTTAAGAAAATTTCAATTGAGGTGTCAACAGAGAATTTATCCGCTTTTTTGTGCAAAGTGTGTGTACTGAAGTGTCATTAGTGCCACATCCAGTTGTCCACGGTTTGCATTATATGCCTATTGTGTAACTACGGCCAGTTTTGGTGTGTCTAAATAAAATGAGTTCGGGATTTATCTCCGAAGCTGAATTGGCAGAGCGGCGACGAGCACGCCAAGAAGAGTGGGATAAAGTAAGAAAACCGGATGATCCAGAAGGTGAGACACAATGGAAAATTAATAATAATTTAAAGCCAAAACAGTTTGTTGTTCGGCAGGTAGGTGTCACTGAAATGAACTGAAATCATTAGAAAATTGTGGACAAGACCTTTTTTTAAAAATCACTATTAGTACTCCACGAAAGTAAATCACTATCAGAACTGCACGAAAGTAATACTTGAAGTATGCACAAATTGTTCACCTAAGCAGATACTTTAAAGTAGATTATGGGATACTACTTAAAAAATAAAAAAAATCTCCTCACAAGAAAATTATTTTATTGTGTTTTTCTTAATGACATGAATTTTGCCAATCCTTTTTTTCTTTTTCCATTTTTAGAAGCTCCAGAGGAACATTATGATCCCAGATCCCTTTTTGAAAGACTGGAAGAGCAGAAGCAAAAAAGAGATATGGAATATGAAGAAGCACATAAACTAAGTAAGGAATAATTTACCACTGATACTTTATGCAGTCACAGTACAAACATATTTTATTCCCCTTTTCAAGTGTGTTAATTATGTCAAATTATGGACTATCATAGTAAACAATAATGGTTGGTGAGTGGAATTAAGTTTAGTAGATATCAGCAAATTAACTGAATTTCTTTAAATTTTTAACCACAGTACCATTTATTTGCATTTTGATGTAGGATGTTATTTCTCGAGTATTTATATGTTTGTTGTAATCCATCTGTCATATTATTCTTTAATGTTGTTAGATCTTTATTGCCACAAATTATATGTGTATCATCTGCGTATATTATTAGTTTATATTTGTGTTAATGGAAAGTCATTGACAAGTAAAAGAAATAGTAACAGTCCCAATACTGATCCTTGTGGAACACCAGAGGTTATGGTTTTGAATTATGATTGTGTTTTATCAATGCAGTTGTCAGTTTCTCACTGTATTTGTACATCTTGTCTCTGATCTCTTAAGCATGAGTAGTTCATGCATATTACCTTTTATCCTTAAGTGTTCCAATTTTGTAAGTAATAAATTGTTATTTACACTGTACAAAGCTTTGGATTCTTTTATAAATATTTCAGTTATTTTCAGATTATTTTCAATATTATTAAGTATTAGTGTTTGAAATCAGCAAAAGCTGTAATAGTGGATGTATTTCTCCTAAAGCAGTGTTAAGTGTTAATTAGTATTTCTCCCCCTTACAAGTTATTTACTTTTTCAGCAATAACGTTTTCAAAAAGTTAAGCAAAGCAAGATGTGTTATAGGTCTTCTTGTAAATGGATCTCACAATACTAATTTTTAGGGTATCTGGAAATATACAATCATTTCCTGATCTATTTATTAAGTGCTCTAAAACATGTTAGTGCATTTTTGCATCTTTTCATTATAATTGTTGCTATCCCATCATAGCCAGCCAATCTATTGTTACTTAACGTATTGATTTATTTTTCCATGCCTTATATCTATGATGTTTAGATACATGGTTTTGTTTATCCAGTCATTTATGTACTTTGGAGGGATTGTATGTTAAACATTGTATGTTTAAGAAGTAGGCATTGAGAGCTTCGCAGATGTTCAGAGGATTATTTATCAGTTTGTCATAATGTTGCAAATGCGTATTCCTATTTTGACTAATTAGATTCGTATTTTCATTCATGGAAGCTTTAACACTGAATAAATCACTTAATCACATTGAAATTGGGCACAATGTGAAAAACAATGAAATTGAGATTCAATTTTATTAGTTTTTTTTATTTGTGAATAATTGTTGTTATTTATTTTTATGCATTGGTGAAAGTTCATGTTTATGTTAATATTCAAATTAGCGTTTTATTTCTAGAAAACATGATCAAAGGATTGGATGATGATGAGGTGGAATTTTTGGATTTGGTTGACCGAACCAAAATTGAACAGGAGAGACGGAAATGCAGTGAAGAAGCACGTGAAATAAAAGATTTCCGAGAAGCTGTGGCCACTCTGCAAGAAAAGTCATTGGAACAGAGAATCAATACTGAAATCCGGCAACAAACACGACCTGCATCTAATTCTCAACAGACTGGTCTCTCAAGGTAATACAAACTTTGTGAATAACTTTGTCCATTAATCATTTGGTTATGCCCCCCTCCCCCGCTCCAAAGTCTTTTTGATTTTGAAAAATATTTATAAAAGATTTCGGGAAGTTGTGCTGTATCTCTACTTCGGCTGATAAGTAATAAAATTGCAGTATAAATAGTATAGTTCTTTTTAATAAACTATTTTTAAATAATTTTTATCCATTACAGCTACATAAACCATATTTTATTTTGTTCTCGATGGTTTCTTTCTCTAGAAAAATGGAATATATGTCACTGCATCAATTTTTTTAAATATATTTTTTGGCAACAGTCTCAACAAAATAATGAAAACTATTTTGTGTTTGTTATGTACATGTAGCATTAAGGTATTTATTTACATTTTGTTGCTTTCTTTGACTTAGCTGTAATCTACAAAACAGTATTTGGACTTTTACAGTAAAAAGGTTTAATAACTTATCTATATTACCCATTTCTATAGCACACCAAAATTGAAAGAAAACTAAACAACCTCAGGCCTTGTGAGAGGTGCCTTTAGTCTCTTTAGATACCGGTGAACTCAGAAAAGTCCAAAAACAATTAAATTATTTAATTTTGGACCTAAATATCTTATATTTATCACATTACATTATATAATCTCATACTGCATGTGCCAACTGAATTCTCATATTCAATGTATTACTACTTAAAATAAAACTGACATTGTTAACAGAACACTTTAAGGAAAATTTGCCATTTAATATATTTGCTATTCATTGTGGAACAGCCACTTTTTTGATATTCTCGGTTCACTGATATGACGATATTCACTGTTGTACTGTGTACCCATATATACTATACTAAATTATTGCAATATTTGTGAAGTCTGTTTTTGTTAACATATTTAATTCATTTTAGTGTTATGGGATAATATTTTATTTATTGTTCTTGAACGGTGTGCATGTGACTCTTTAGAAATCCATTTTGTGTGTTGTTTCTTAAATGATGTTAAATGGATAATATGAGTTTATTTAAACTGAATTACATAAACTGGTTATACATTGGTGTGTGGGATCTAATATTGTATGCGGAAATGTTATCAATGTTTTATTTTCTTTCTTTGTATTTTTGTTGTATAACAAATTATTTCATAGTGAAGAAGTTATTGTATTTGATTTGTGTATTTGGCTTATAAGCTGCTGATTAATTGGAAATAAAATAAAATTTAAAAAAATATATTAACTTTTAGTCAACAAATCTACATTTTATATTCAGTATAAAGGAAAAATTCTTTACAAGAAAACAAAGTCACCTGGGCAATATACTTGTAAAATTTCAATTCATTAACACCCAGGTTTTTTTGCTATTAAAATTAATTTAAAATGTTACATTTGAGAATAAGTAAGTGATGAAATTTAACGATATTAAGTTATCACGTATTTTGAAATGAGAATTAAAAAAGAGGGGCTGATCATTATGGATCTATAGGGAATATAAGCTTTTATTACTTGAGAAAAGGTGTGATATTATCAATTGACCATATAAATTAACATTTTGTAAAAAATTTAGACAGCCAATATATTACTTTGTAGATGTATACATCTCACTGTTGTAACAAGAAATTGCATATCTTTTAAAAGGGTATATCTGTATATTAACTGGAATTGATTGAAGAAAATGTGAACTTTTGTTAGGCTAATAACACATTTGTAATATATAAAGAAAAAGGCCAGAACGTAAGAGGGCAGAATAAGACTGACAAGAAGATGGTACCAGCAGAAACTCTTCAACACAGGAATAGCCATTAATAAGACAGGAAAATTATTTCTAAACTGAGGGTGTTGTTGATAATGATGAAGAAAAATTGACCATGTATCTAAAGCTAAGACTATCATTAGTACCATCATCATGATCGTCATCAACGTCAAGGACTGAGCCTTCCGGCCTGTTCCGACTCTCAGAACTGATCTTGCCATTACTTAGGTCTTCCCAATGATCTTTTTCCTTCTGAAGTGCATTGTTTGATGGATTTGGTCATTCTTGTGTCTGTCATTCATTCAACATGTTCGTCCACCTTAGTCGGTACTGTTTTATTATATTTACAGTGTTCTTCATCTTCATTTCTGCTTTGATATCATCGTTTTGTTTTTTATCCATCAATGTATAGCAAGGTATATGTTTCAAAAATAAACTTCACCCAGTTTTTGCTTCCTTAGAGCAGAGCTGGAAGCATCATCACCTTATAAAGCTTTAAGAGGGTGTCTTTAGTAAAGTTGTAAAGGGTGTAAAGAGTCAATGATTTGATCATTGATTTCAATTCTTACCCAGAAATGCTGAAATCCTTTAAATGCCATTGTTTTTGTTTTTGTAGTAGAAATTCTTATAACTATAATTGATTTTGTAGTTAATTAAAATTACTGAAAATGCTATTTTATTTAATTTAATGATGGCTTCTTGTTTGTAGTAGTTCATATTCATTTTGAGTTAATTACCTGGTTCTCTGCAAAGAGTATTGTTGTATAATTTGTGGCACTAATTTAAAAATGTATTTTTTGCAACTATTTTTTGGTTACTTTGTCTATGTAAATATTAAAAAGAATGGGTAAATGTGGGCACTCTTATCTAACACCTTGGCTTATGTTGGCCATTTTGTTTGTGCTTTTGTCATTTTTATGTGTATTTTATTGTTTATGTATATAAACATCCTGTTTCCACCTGTCCTGTTTTATTTGTCTTTCTTTCTTGTTTACTATAAATAATTTCTTTTGGTAGTTTATTCTTAAAACTTCATTGTCTATGGAATTCATCAGCTTTATATAAGCTTGTTTCTTGTTATTAATTATTTATTTTATTTCGTCCTCCCAGTATTTTAGTCTTCTCTTATTTAATGACCTCTTTCTTGTCCCAATACTTCTGTTGCTGCTTTAATTATTGCTTCTTTTATATTCCATTCTTAGTTAATATTGTTGTCTCTTTGTTTTGTTATTATGTAATTTTCAGGGCAATTTTGACAGTGTGTTTGAATGCTATCTTATTAGAGTTAATGAACTTTAAATAATCTGGGATCAGTATTTACTTTTTTATTGTAGGTTGTTTTCTTCCATCTCTTTAACATTTAGATTTTTGAAATCAAATTGTTGCCACCTTGGACCATTCAATAATTGCTCCTCTGTGTATTAACCTCAACAGAGATGGTTGCTTGTTCTGCCTGTTGTAAGCTTGTTCCTTGTGCTGTTCGCACAGTTTTGGTTTTTGCTGTAGCGCTAGCAAGGGGCCCTAACAAGGGTACTACCAGCCGAGCCAGCTAGACGAAAGTTTTTTTAAAGAGCTATTACTCCTCTATCCTTCCTCAGATTTTGCAACGTGGGTCCCCAGGCTTGGGACTGGTGTAGCAGAGTCCATTAGTTACAGCTGTATCGTAATATTTCGTATAAGAGATGTGGATTGACATAGGGCCATCTGTAAATTGTGTTATGCAGATTTGATATGTTTTGAATAGCCCCCTCTCCTGCTTGTATTGCACCTGTAATGTGTGTTTGAATCCTCCTAAATAATTATGAAATGCTTGCGACATCCCCCTTCCCCATTTATTTTGCAGTGTGTAAAAATAAATTGTAAAGCTCTAACAATAAATTATATTAATGTTATTTGTGTTGTATATAAAAATGTATGATAATTATACGATAATGAAAGTGATAATTAGTTAGTGATATAAACTCCACCTAACATTTAAGCTTGAGGACAAAATTTTCAAAGAAAGGAAGACTAAAGTCTCAAGAAGAAAATTTCGGAGAAAAAGTTGTGCATACGCCATTGTGGATGCCCCATGAGCCAGTCTACTGTGCCACTTTAATTGGATTCTAGAATATATATTGGCTTTGAATATTTTTTTTTTTGTAATCTTAAAAGATACTATTTATATAGCATTAATGAAAAAATATTTCCATTTATTGTAACAATTTATACATCATAACTTTGTAATTTAATTTCTTAATATTTTATTGTTTGGTATGAGACTGAAAATAGGAATGATTTCAGCAAAAATTGAAAAATTTTGAAAATAAATATCATTGTTACATAACACTAAAACAGGACCTCCCACCCTATGTGTTCCTCTGTAACATAGCCTTATAACCCTTTACAGCGTTATGTAATTTATGGGCAACCTCTTAGAAATTTCAGTTATTCTTTCAAGTTTGCAATGAAGGAAAATACATAGAAAAAGGGTTGCAGGAAGGATAAAATAAAGGGAGAAAGGTTTAGGGATTGTAAATTTGAGTAATTTATATGAATAAGAGTTAGTAATTTGACTGACTTTTAGGAGGTGTGTAATGTGACTTGTAAAACATAGGATTATGAAATAAGTGACTGTGTATAGGAAGCAAAAAATTGTTAAATAGAAGTGGAAGGTAATAATTTGAAAGGTAGGAGATTTTGATACAAGGACATAGAAGTAATAGGATAAAGTGGAAAGGATAAGGATACCTAGCTAAAGGGCCTTGTGTAATATGCAACGAAAGGTTTTGTCGGGATTAAAGTATTATAAGTATACGAAGATTGATAAAAGAAAAGTATGTCAGAGTAAATCTAACTTTAAGATTTGGAATAGTTGTAAATAAAGGATTTAACTATGGGTAGATAGTTAATACAAATTTGTACATTCGAGGTTTTAATTCAAATATCGATGTCGTGTCCAGTAATTTTCTCAAATTTATTAAATTATATAATCTTGAACTTTACATTGTTATATACCATTAAACTGTTACGTACATTCATTGATAATAAACAATCAATTTGCCAGCTTAGGTAGCAGAACTTCTCAAACACGCTTACTGGCTGGTGCTGTTCGTAAGCGACATGCTGATAGTCCTACAACTGCTGCAAACCCCAAAAAACCATGCACATCTTCTGATGAAAGTAAGTATCATGACCTCATCATTGCTCTAGAGTTGCATGCTTTTCTATTTTAAATATTATTGTTTCCACAGAAGTATTCCATCCCTATTCCTGAAAAGTTTTTCATGATAATTTTTTTGATTTGTCAGTGTTCCTTATGACAAAATAATATCAAAATTCATTGAATTCATTTGTTATTTACAAGTACCGAGATTTTCTTTCACAGATGTTCAAAACTTTACATTCATATGAAATTATCATTCAAGAGTGGCTTAGTAGAGTGATTTTGAGAAAACTGACTAGTACAGTCCAAATATATTTTTTTAAATATAATTTCGGATTTAATATATTAAATATAATATAGAATCAGATAAATGTGTGTCCCTTATCTTTGTGTTCTTATCATAAAACCAAATATGACTCATGAAATATGACATTGGATGTCCACTACTTTGTTTGAATACTGATAGTGCTATGTAGATGATAAAATGAGTTTTGAATTGTTCTGGTGTAAGATTCCTTATTACATTTGTTCAAAAAATTCTACATTCTGAAACAGAACACCAGGCATTCAAAGAGAACAAAAAATTAATTTTTTTAGCACATTTTTATTCATTTACTAGCAGAACCCGGCAGATGTTATTCTGCCTTTTATGTCTTTCGCTTTCTTCCTTTCCCCCCTCTCCCTTCGTCTCCCAGCCCTTCAATCACCCCTCTTCCCCCAGCAAAAATGTAGTAGAATGTTCACAATCTCATCCTGTAGATTACGGTGTGAGAAACTTTTCTTTGATGCCTTTGGCCTCAAAATTGTAGTTTTTGATGCCCTAGAACTGATGTTTAGTAGTTATTTAATGATACAGATTCAAAAAATCAGGTAGGCAGGCTGGCGTGCTTATCATGATTTGATTATCACAACCAATTTAATGCATTGCAGTTTTACCAAAGTCATTCCTCTAATTTTTCCTAATTGACTTATTATTCAGATAAATGTTTATCTCAAATCTAACTGCAATTATTTATTTACTTATTTTTGTTTGGATCTTTATTAGGTGACACATAATAATTAGCAGCAGCAATGACTATATTAGCACTTGTGTACACACATAATTTTTATTAGTGATATTAAGAATTTTACCCTAAAACTTCTCACAAATCAGTTTGTGAGTTCAGTGATGTCAGTTATGTCCCCACTATGAAAGTGCTGACATGGCTAATATGAACACTGTTGACAGAGTGACTTCATGACTTAAAATGTGCAATCCAGAGTAATTAGGGGATTTTAATGCAGGGACTTGTCGATTCAATTTCACTTGCATGATTCATAGACTTAGAAAAAAAATATTTAATTTTTCCGAAGTATCATACACAATAGAAATAATTGTGTTGTTTCATTTAATGTATATTTAGAACTATTTTATATTTGATTCCAATTTTTTTTCTCTTCAGGTGCAGATGTTGAACCAAAGACAAATCAAGAAGCAGAACAAAATAACAGTCAAGAATCAAAACAGAATGATGTTTTAGAAAGTGATCCTCATGAAAAAAGCTCAAGGAAGAGGAAAGAGAGGGATGACGGAGAGAGCAATGGCGAAGTGACAAACGGTCCTCCTGTGGGAGGTGCTATGAGATGCATTGGAATTTTGCCTGGATTGGGAGTGTATCATGATTCCAGTGACTCAGAACAGAGCTCTGACACAGATCAAGACATCCCTTGCACCGCCGGTTATGACTTGCTAGGGCGAAAATTACAATCCGCTACTAAGAAATCAAGTCAGAGTTCTGAACGATAATGATTATGATCAAAAGATGATTGAGAGAGTTCCATATGAATGTAAAATACCCTAATGTTTTCAGATTTTGAGCATGGAAATCAAGAACCTTTTGCTGTTAAAGGAAAAGTTTCAATTGACTGTTCTTAACTGAAGTTTTAAGGTTAGCAAACCGTGTTTGATGTCGGTCAGAGATGTATATCATCTCTTGTTTACTTGTTTTGTGTCGCATGTATTGTATGATAAAGTGGCTGTGAAGGTTGTTTTAAGGTGGTGTATATACACTAGACAACTCTGTTGTAGTATGAGTTTTCAAATTAGATCAGATGACTTCACTTTTCTGTTGTTTTGCTTTTCGTTCCATTTTTCGTTCATGTTAAAATGATTGCAGTCATTACTAATTTTTTGTTTTTTCATTTAAGCAATGCAGATTTCAAACATTTGAAACCATTTTTCATAATGCGATGCATTTTGAAAATTATATGTTTTTAATTTTTTCATGGATTTGTTGTTGACCAAGAAAGAACAATTGTTTTCATTAAATTTCTCTATATTTTCTGCCTTCTACATCTGTTTATTGAATTTTGTGAGTAAATACTATATTTTTCTACCAAAATTGTTTTATCTAGATTCATGATTATGTATCTAATAAAAAAATTTCAGAAAACTACTTTTTATTTTGGAGTGTTTAAGATATCTAATGCTATTGATGTGAAGAACTCCTGTAGGCAATTCAAGCATATTTTCACATAGAAATAGCATATTTTTAAAATTTCAATTTTATAGGTGAAAGCTTGTATATTGAATGGTGAAAAGCAAATTGCTGTTTATCATGGGTAGTTGAAATGATTTCAGTAAGAATTGAAACTTTATTTTTCTTACAATATCTTCTTGCTTTTAATGTAAGGAATATTACATTTCGGTGCCAGTAGCAAAACTCAATTTTATCGTAGCCCAAAAATTGGGTTTCTGAAATGTATATAATTTTATTAATTTTAGTGAAAGCAGTTGTCTGAAGGTGCACATAATTAAATGTAAATATTATTGAGTTTATTGGTAGGTAAAGAAGCAGTATTATGAGAATGCTGTGATTTCTAAATTTTAATAAAAAGTAAATAATGTTGCTACTTTTTGTTATTTTTCACTTTTAATGTGCTTGCATCTATGTTCTGTGGTAAATGTCTGGTTCTGGCTGGTTGCTTAATGTTTTGTGTAGATGATTGTATAATTGAGAGGATAAAATAAAATAATTCATTAGAGACATTAAAATTTTGAATCATATAATTTGTAATGTATATAAATTTATGCATTTTTTAAAAACATGTTTGAAAATAAAATCAGTGGTGATGTGAGGTTAACTGAAGAACTGGGACATAACTCTGTGGTCTCTGCAACTATTCTGCTTGCCAACAGTTGGTGAAACTCCGTTAGTAGTCTTGGTATCTGCATAGTTGATCTAACTCTTTATGTGGCTGACACACAGAAGGCTTTAATAGGTGTGCCTCAATGCACTACTGAGGGTGCAGCCCAGGGCTCCCAATGGAATCTGGATAGACTCCTTGAGGGCCAATGGAACTTAAAAGATGGTCTTTCAAGATATATGAGGTCGACCAAGGATCCATAGCCAAAAATGAAAAGGCAACTGATTGGCATATTCACAGGGCCATTGATTGCAAAAAATATTAATGAAGTTATCAATATGATTGTTGTATGATATAAAGCTACAAAACGTGTAATAATAACTTACAAATTTTATTTGTAAGTTTTCATCGAAATGACACCCATACCATTCTTTTAAACGTCCTTGTCACTAACACAAAAGAAAAAGTAAAACGGTGGTCCTTTTTTTAATTTGAAAAATGTCACAGGGGATTTATGTGCAGTACCTTCCAAAATTAAAATATCAGTTTCAAGTCAAATTCCATGGGGCCATGTCGTCTACCAGATCAATTGAGGAATATAAATTTTGAAGAAAATCGGCTGAATGGTTTAGCCGCTAGTATTGTTCACAGATGTTTCCCCGTCATTTAATTTTTTGCTTTCAAGTATCCACAAAACAGATTATGGGTACACTACATGTTTTTTAGCAACTGAATAGCACTTTTTTGTTACCAGGATCCTGTAATAAGTTTTTCTGCCGAAAATTTGCCGTTTTTCGATGCAGCATTACATAACTTTCTCTCTACTGCTTAAAGATATTTTTGGATAATTAAAATGAATAAAAACGTATCGCAGCATGAGCTGAGTTTAGCCTGCATCAAATGTTGATACCGTTCTTTGATATATATGAGGAAACAATTTTAAAATAATATTTGGAGCCGTTTTTGAGTAAAAAATTGTTTAAAAATTTGAAGTAAAAAATATCTTGTTTCCTAGTGCATTTGCCTCCGTGTCTATGGGCCTTTTAGTACTGATGGTGGTGGGTACAGAGGAGCCGCGCAAAGTATCTACTATCTTGATTATGCCTTGCTCAATTGGTCTTGAGATTTAACGTTTCTTTTGAGTTCATTTCCCACTTCAACGAGCTCTTGATCTACATTTGTTTGCCCCTGTTTCCCATCAAAGTTGAAATGCTTTTGTTCAGTAAGGCTTGGCATTTACTGAGTTCCTGTTAAGGCAAGTTTCAGTAGTTACGCCTTCGGGCGTCATAGCAGCCGGGGACTCAATAAAAGTTTGGACCCGCCCCAACTGACCAGCGGTGTCGAACGGGCTGTCTCAATAGCAGAGTTAACAGAATCAAAGAGGACGGGCGCAGCTGAAAGCTCCTGATGCATCTCTGAAACTATAGCGGGCTTCTGCTTAGGGAATCGCCCCCCAATCTGCCTCCGGGGAGGTAATGTCTACCATTGCAAGTTCCTCAGGGCCACTGCATATGAGCCGAGTTTTTGGAAGGAAATTGGCTCAAGTGTGTTTTGCTTATCTCGACCTGTAAAAACCCTTCTTCCCCCTTTGGACAAGGGTCAGAGCAGGGGATTATCGGCTTCCTTCCTGTCCTAATGGTAGGCCTTCGATACAGGGGAGAAGAAGAAATCAGCATAGGGATTTGGCTCACTGGAGTCTTCGGAGGGCTAATGACCCTGTAAGGCGATGCGATTATAGCAGCACTAGTAGAAGGTCTAGCTAAATCATCATACCACTGACCATCAGATGGAGACGATGGTGTTTCTGCAGTCATGGTAGCTTCAGCTCCAATGGCTGCTATAATCTTCGATATGTAGTCTCTTCTCTTTTCTCACCCACCTGTCGGGCGGTCTTACTCAGCAGAACAGCCAAATTCTCGTTCGACGTCTCTGGTTGCTCTTTCTCCAATGCTGCCATTTTCATAATTTTCTCCAAAAAGAAGACTTTTACTGGTCTAGACATAGCAGTCCTACACTACGCTACGCCTTGGCAGCTCGGTCTTTATTATAGATACGTCTGAATGAGTATAGCGCAAATGTGACTGCCCTGATTTGTTTGCGAAGTTGATTGAGCATAACTCTCAAATAAAGTCTTTTTTAGATGGTTTCGGACCCGGGCACGTGGGGAAATGACTCAAAGCGGATAGCTTACATTTGTAATTCTTGGTGCATTTTGAGTATAAAACGATTAGGGAGAAATCGCTAAAGATAGTATTGTGATGCCGAATCATGTTATTAAAAGCGGTGGCCAAAATTGCAAAAGCTTTACATTTGAAAACCACAAAATTGAAGATAGATATTTTTGCCTTAAACAAAAATTATTATTCATTCATTAAAAAGAGTCGTTTACAATTTTTCGAAAAAAACAAACTAGTACTATTTTAGTCATATTTACATTTAAAATCCCAATCATTTGCAGACTGTATCTTTCGATGAAGCAGTTAATATAGAAGCTTAGAAATTTCAACCTCCCTACCAGTATTATCTTCGTAGATTTTGTGAAAGCTTTAGAACTTCGTGTCCAGGAAGAAGTTATGGGAAATTCTTTTGATTCAGCGAATTCCAAACCACCTGATAAAAGTTATGAAAAGCTTGTATAGTAATAATAAAATATGTATTGACATGAGGACAAGAATTAGGAGAAAACATGTGATAATAAATAGAGGAGTAAAACAAGTACGATGCCCACTGTCCCCTGCACTTTTTACTTCCCTGTATACGTACGTATATACGGAGTAATATAAGTAGTATATGGAAAGTTGTGAAATGCTGCGGAAAATCGATTTCCAGATTTCGACGGAAATACACGTTTTGGGGTCCCCTGATACCGAAATAGTAATTTTTTTCGAAACGTCTGTCAGTCTGCCCGTCCGTTCGTTTGGCGACTGTAAACACTAACTCATAAATCATGCGTAGGATTTTTTCCAGCTTGAAGAAACCCTGTCCATCAGTCTGGAGTCAAAACTTTGAGATTTTGAAAAACAATCTTTGGAATTTCAGTGTACTTTATATGAAGCCTCCCGGACATTTTCAAAATTTCTCCAAAACGGTTCTAAATTGTTTCTTTAAATTCCTTGTAAGAGTAGAGAAACATACTTATAAAGGTGGCGTAAGTCCGATTTTCAGGTTAACTCTGAATTTTCGAAAATTTAAAAAAAAATATTAATTTTTTGTATTCCTACAACTACAAAATTGAAGATCTAGATTTTTCCTTCAAATAAAATTTGTTCTCCATGGTAAGTTCTTTAATTACGGTCATGTACATTTTTTGAAAATTTAAGTAGTTTTCGCGCAATATTATGGGCAATATAAGCAATTTTAAAAATTACAAAAACAAGATTTTCTGGAAAAGTCTCCAAATTTTTTCTTTAAACTTTTGGTAGAGATAATGCTAAATGTACTCTATAAGATCATATAAAAACATATTACTCTTCTTTTTTTTCTTAAAAATTTAATATTTTTGTCTTGCCTCTCCTGTCATTAATAGTTATATTAGCGGCAATTTGTTTACACTATTGTATTAATGAATACACGTGCTTTGAGTAATGTCATATCAAAAACTACTGTTTTCTGTGAAAACTATCTCTAACCTCCGTATTTTCAAAAACGCTCAAACGCCATTTTCTCGGAACCAAATTTTTTCTTGAAACATTTCGAACGGATATTGGTAATTGCACTCTCTAATATGACGTGAAGTTAATTTCGGCGAATGATTTTATTTTTTCAAAAATTACACCAATGTAAATTTTTTAAAGCTCTCACGCCGTTGATATACACATTTTCAGCAATTTGTAAACACTATAGTATTTGTGAGTTAAAGTACTTAAAATGACTTCAACTGAAATTTTTCGAAAACTCAAAAATTTTCTGTGAAAAAGAACTTCAAATTTCGAATTTACAGTAGCGCTTAAATGCCAGTTTTTTAAAAACTGCTCCAAATTTTTCAAAGAAATTTGTCATTATGGACGAGATTTTACTGTCAAATAATCTTAAAATAATATTTCCGCTCTACACTTAGGAAACAGAAAAATTAAGAAAATGCCAAAAAATGTAGTTTGGGCTGCGGTAGATGGCAGCTGGCATGTTCGAATAGCTAACCAAGACCAAAGGAAATAGAAAAGTAATATGGGAAAGTCTGTGCCATTCTGTAGCACCACTAGTTAGTTTATATATTGTCAATGACATAAACAAAAGGCATAGAGTTTTACCACAGGTAATATGAGTGCTTTGGAAATTGTCGATAAATGAAATGCTCTCGTGGCTCAATGGCGAAGTCGCTTGCCTTCACCACTGAGTTCCGGATTAGAATCCCCGTAGAATCCTATGTGAGAACATGAGTTTGCATGCTTCACAGGTGCTAGTCCAACTGTGAAGCGTCCTAAACCTTGCCCCTATCATAATTCCTTTCCGTTGAATAGTGACCCAGGAGCGCTTAAGAGAGAGGCGTACGCGGAGATGCTATCTGGCGGTCCTCTTGACAGCTGACTGAGACGACAGTGACGGACTATGTAATTAAAGGAGGATTTCTCTCGCACAACAATTTAAGTAGGATTACTACAAAAAGCGCGAATCGCTCAAGCCCCGGGTTTGAGCATCTAAGTTGACGCAACGAATTAAAAAAAATCCCCGACTCGCGAAATGAGGATTTATCTGAGAAGTTTCAAAGCACGAGTGTTATTTAATAGCACTATCCCACTAGTAAAATTATGTCTAACAGTTCCAAAATGCGCCAAATATTGGAAATATGTTAAAACCAAAGAGGTCATGTTATGAAATAGAGCTGTTTATTGGAAATCGACATAGCAATCGATGTGTTCCATTCCCTTCCGCATGCCCTTGTATTTCCTCTTTCTTCATGTACATTTCGCACTTCGAGATGTCAACAAATATGCTGTGGGCGTAAGCTCTGCTCCTTCTTCTCGTACTTATGTTCATAAACATGAACATAAAATTTTAATGCACACAGATTTAATATTAGGAGGCTAGTACAAACATCGATGTCGCATCACTAGGGAGCTTGTGCCACCTCAAACGTTAAAGCACTATTGATCTTGTGTGCATGCGCATTTCAAGTTTCGTATCACATTAATGCACCTGCGCATGCGCAGAAGATCGATTGTGCTGACGCTATGACGAACACTAACTCCCTACATGTCACATCACTAAATGAAGGACCTCGAGATCTAGATAGACCGTATTACCACTATGAGTGGACCTAGAAGAAGTAGATACGATCTTTTTGGCGTCGGAACAGGCCGTTCAGCATAGTCCTTAATGATTTTGAAAATCCCAATGTTAAATCGATTTTTATTCTACAACTTGTATTCTCAATTTATTGATGTATTATCTTTCAACTAATCCACAAACTTTAATTGACATTTACAAATTAAGTTTTCTCTTAAAAATACGATTTTAATGTAATATGGAAAAAAATTTAGCACATTAATTACATTTCATGCATTTGATTAGTCTGTTACTTATGAAGAATTACTGAATATAATATTTCATGTGGCGTTGCCAATGCCATACATTACTGTGATATGGCACTTCGAGAAATTATTCGTAGAATTTCATTGTTGGATGGCGCACATATATGGCAGATGAATACTTTAAGGAAGCTTTATTTACTTCATGCTAATGTTACAATAAAATAGTGCAAATTTCGAAAATTCTTGAAAATAGTTCTTTAAATGTATACTAAAGTCGGGAATAAAATACATACACATACGGATATGCATAAGATGGACATTAGGAAATGGGTGGAATATTCATTTCTCTGAAAATTCAGTGTTTTCAAGCTGTTGACAAACTGACACATTTTGAATGAAAAATACCTTTTTGGTATAAGGGAACCCGAACATAAATTTGTTAAATTTTGTGTCACTTAATAACTTTGTCTATTCTACGTGTACAAGAAAGTAAAACGTTTCATAAGTTTTGTAGGAATTATAATGCCTTGCTGTTGATTGATTTTTTTGGTAAATAGGAAGGTTGCGGTGTCACGGTTCACGCGCGCTTCGCTACGAGTGTCCAAATTGTGTACGAGGCTCGGGCCGTCGGCCCTCGCATTAACATAAAACATCCTTGAGTCTGTCGAACACATAATTACCTGCGCATTTTATGCAAACACTCATCTTAAAAGTCATTTAGCAGGTAGATGAACGTTAATACTGAAGGAACCGTGACACCCGCTAATTCCGATCAACCGATTTTTTCTTGAATCCAGTTACATTGTGTTTTGATCGTTTGACTCCACTACAAGCTTTTAATTAAATATTGTAGGTGCGGTGGTAAAGCAATACTACTGTAAAATTTTCCTTATGGTGGAGACTGATTTCATCCTGGAAAGAGCTATTTATTTTAAGACTAAAGAGTGTTTCGCACTGCATGTTGGCTGTATTGTGAAGTATCTGCAAAAACATGATACAGATTTTTGACAAGTACTTTTTAGGAGAAACACAACTGTTTATTTACTTATAAAAAGGTGATATTCGAAGATGTTAAAAATAACCATTGAATTAAAAAAAAAACATGTATTTTTACCATTTCTAGATGATCTTTCTTGTGTTTCCCCATCATTATCTTAAAAGCATGTATAACATTCCCCTCAGATTATACTATACATTAGGTGAGAGGTTCATTTTCAAAATTTACAGCAGAGCCTGTATGAAGTCCAGTACTTCAACTTTGTATTCAGGCCTGACATACTTTCTTGAAGCTGCTATGCTATGATAAAAATAATTAGGAAATTTCATATATGTGTTCTCAGCCAGATGCCTAATATTGCAGTATTCTTATATAAAACATACAAAACTGCGTTGAAACAATATTTCCTTTATCTCTTACTGTAAACAATCTTCAAAAGTTTAGTGTTTATTTACAAAGCTCAATACTAATCATTCAACATATACTCCATTGCAGTCTACCAAGATTCAACTGCTTTTAGAGGTAGAATAGACGGTATAAAACCTTGCAAGACATTTCCTAAATGGCAACATGGCATGCATGAGCACACACTCAGGTCTTCTGTGCACTACACTTCTCGCAATATTGGAGAAACAATTTTTCCATAAATGGATTAGTTTGTATTTATTAGTACAGATCAAATTACAATCATCAAAACAGTTTTCTAATAAAAATTCTATGAAAATAAGTGATTTGTTATTTTATGCAGGTTTACGACGTGCAATAGGATGTTCTTCTCTTGTATGGTATGGCTCATATGGATCCTCCACATAATACTTTGGAGTACGCCAACATTTTGTGACCATTTTATCCAAGAGGTAACTCTGAGTACAATTGCACAGCAGGTGTTGTTTCAACCTGTGTCTTCGCTTCGCGGACTTCTTCCACATCTTTTTATGTCGACCAGCCACCGTTCTTATCCAGCCTCCCCTGATGAAGGATATATTTTAAATACAGGTTTTCATTCCTATTCTACTAAAAATGAAGGGCGAGAAAAATATATAATATGCTTACCAATGTAAACGGAAGAAACGTTTTACTACTGCTTTAACAGTTTTTCGTTTTCCTTTTTGCAATGAAAACTTTGTAACTGTGCGAGTGGGTGGTTCACACAATGGAACGTTTGTGGGTTGAAATCTAAAACAGTAAAACTACTTATAGGTATTTAACACAACGTATTTATGTTTAAATAATTTAAACCAAGAATTCTTTACAAGAGTGAATTATGCTGCTTAGCAATTGTAGAACACAGAGATCCAAATTTCATGCTGTTATGACAGGTGCCAGGAAATACTTTGCTACATTGCAGTAATGTAGGAGCAGCACTGGCATAGTATGGCACGGCAGTAGCCAGCTGACGCCCAACTGAAAATAATAACACACTTCAATCACCATTGAAACTGTTTTTCTGGACATTTTTATTAAATCCAGTAAAAAGCTGACAAATGTGTGTTGTTACACATAACCCACTTCCATAATGATCAAATAAGGATTTCACTCCCTCACAACACAATATAATGGTAAAAATGAGAACAAAAATCATTCACATAAAAAACACCAAGTTCCACATTTCTAGTATTCATTAAGTTTAAAATGCCTTCACATAAGTATAATAATGCCTTGTAAGTACATCTGATGGTATATCAGTTAGTAGACCCCAGTTCACCGTTTACTAAATGTTATAAATTTCTCACTGTTGACTGTGCCGAATATGTATTTCACAAACTGCAAATAAGAGGCCCTGGTGTCAAAAAATCTCTAACTCCCTATTTAGTAATGGTTGGGATTCCTTGACTTTCAATTCCTAAATTTGTCTAAAAGTACTAGTCAATTTCAGCAATATTATACCTTGAACATACAACTATCTTTATCTTTATCTTTATATTTACATGCCATGTTTACCTCTAAGTAATGTTTGCAGCATTGTCTTGTCTCGGAGATGTCAATACAATTCGTTGTCAATGACAACAAAAAAGGTAATAAACTAGATTTTTCCCCAAATTTTAGGAGTTTTCCTTGCCGTCCAGTTTGAATGTGTGTTAGGTACGAAACACTGCAATCGTTTCTCCAATTGACATTCTCCCATTTGGGAGAATAGCAGAAAACACCAACTGATCTCCTTCAATTAATATTACTTCATATTTTAACAAGGTATGTTTTGTTACGATGGCAGGAATACACTTCCAGTAGAAGACGGGAACATGTGTTGCCGAGCCGCTCCCAACGTGTATCGTCTGAAATACCGGCACGGAAAAGACAGTGGCGAGCTGCATTTGTTTCCTGCGCGACGTTCCTTGTAAATTTGGCTGCCGCACAGGCGCCTGGAAATGCTTCGATTAACATTAAAATTCCCGTACCACGGATTACCGCGGGTAAATATTTATTGAAGATGCTATTTTATGTGTCACTTTAATAGTAATTTGTGTTTTTCGTCGAAACCAGTATTTTGTAGTTCTTAGGAAATATTTTGGGTTTTGTTCAATCTTCACATTATTTCGTTGTTTCAGTGCTTTTCTGTGAGAAATAAACGTTCATAAATTTAATATTTTTGATCCTACTAACTCCTAATAACGTTTGTTAATAGTGAGGTTATGAGGTTCAGATTCAATAATCGTTGAATATTCCTGATGCAGGCACTCATTTTCAGTTTCAGAAACATGGCAGTTCCAGACTCCTGTCATTAAGTTCCTCACATTCGCAGAAGACCAACTTGGATTCAGCCAGTAAAAGAGATAGGCAAGTTTGAATTCATGGGTGGTATACTATTATTTACATTGTGCCATTATTGAATAGTTCTGTACTGCCTGAAATTGTTTTTATCATAAACATTTCATGAAACATCTTTGTTTTCAGAGGAGGCAGCTCAGGAAGTGGTGGAGGATCCGGAATTTTTTATACCATTGGTGTATTATCAGTTGCTACTGGTGCCACTCTAGTATATGCAAAATATGATCCAGAATTTCGGAGGTGGCTGAACAATCAAGTACCATGGTCAGAACCTGTCCTAGAATTTGTGTTTCAAGAAAAAGAGGATTGGAGTACAGTGCTTCAAAACATTCTTGACAGTGTGAGTCAGAGGTACGTACATCATATTTCTGTAAATTGATAACTGCTCAATAATTGTGAATCTGTCATTGGAATGTAAGATCGACTTCTGCTAACCTTTCTACAATCTGTTGAGTATCAGTCTCTCTTATCTTTGTGTGTGCAATTAATATTAATAATTTATACAAAAAGTTTTACCCAAAGGTCAGTCGTATGATGAGCTATTTTCACACTCATACATGCCAAACTAAATGGGGGAAGTAGTCGATGAGTAAAATGTAGAAATGATTTGTGCCCATTTCACAGATGTTTGCTAACTGTGCTTCAATGGTTATTTTTATCATTACGTCAACTGTGGATCATTTTCATGAAGTCAATGTGTTTATGTAACTAGAATGCCAGAAAAGTACACTCTATAATTTCCTTTCTATGAAATATTATTTATATGAATTCTTTGATTAAAATTTAATCTATTTTGGGTGTAATTTAAAACATGATGAAAGTAAACTATTGATAGCGAATGATATGGCCTGTCCATTTACAGTCGTTAAATGTGTTAATTCATGTGCATACATATTCTCATCTTCAACATGATAAGTATCAATTCAATGATATTATTTAGTATCAAAATCAATAACATTATTTTTAGTGGCATTATGAGAACAATGTCAAACTATCTCGTTCCTCTAATAGCATGCACTGAACTGATGCTTTGAGGAATCTCAGCTGATCTGACTGGAAGAAGAATACATTATGCAAAGTGATGTGACATTGGCGGTCCTCAACTCTTTTAAAATCTATGAAAAAAAATTAACCATTGAGCTGAACAAGGCATTCTTTTTCTTAAAGTTTTTCTAAATAGAACTTTTTTTATGACTTGCCATCATTTGATTTTATGTCATGTAATGTCATGTTATCACATGTCAATTTTGCCAGTTAATATTTATACTGAAGTAATGGTAAAATTATTTTCCTTTAAAAAATGTGAATGTTCTTGCAAACCAATATAAATTAATATAATTTAACTTTCCGGTAATATTAACATTAATGAAAATGAAATATTTTATATTGTTTTGTTATATTCCTTATTTAAATTTTAGAAAAATCAGTCTTGTTGTAAATATTTTAAAAAGTTGTTGAGAGAAAGTGCACATTCACTATAATTATAATAAATATGCTGGTATTTGTGACAAAGTACAAGTTGTCAAGAAATTTTTACTTTATTGCCTGTAAAATTTTTAAGCATAGGGAAGACCTTATTGAACAATTTAATACATTACACCTACAAAGCGACCGTAATTTCATTATATAAATATGTATTTCAATCAAAAGTTTCTGAATTTAAACAAAAAATCCTTTTTAATTAATCACGATTTTTAGGAACCCTACTTGAATGTTAAAAGTCTGTTAATATCACTTATTTTATTGTTGTTTTCAAATATTAAACTTAATTCAGAGATCAACCGTCTAAAAAAATGATCTTACATTAGCAAAATTCCTTTGTGTTTATGTAAAAGAACAAAGACCAGATGGCTTATTTTAAGTAAATTGTCATCAAATTCTGAAATACCTGTCTTACCAGGATCCTTTAGAATGCTCAGCAGAGTAATTTCAACTCAGCATTGAGTGATACCTCATGAAAGTGATCTTGCAAAAATATTAATCTACTTCACTCAGACTCTCTTAAAAATAATTTCTTGTTTATTACTGGTTTTATCCCCCATTTTAAATATTTCTTGTCATTACTATGTGTGGGTTGTAAGTGGAAGGAACTTATTGTTCAGTTGAAAAAAATAATTGAAAGGTGTTTCTTCAATATTAATAATATTGTTGTAGTCATAACAATAAAAATTGTTATAAACATTAGTTTAAAACACCTACCAGTTCCTGTTCAACACAAAAAATATTTCTATGTAATGCACCACTCATATTGTACTGTCTCACAATTGTCACTCACTAGTCATCTATGTGTCTGACAACGACTTGTACAGACAATAGTTTTAAAGCAATTTTGTAGTATACTCCTCAAACATTAGATCAACATTTCTTTGTGATTTTGTTGCATGGGTAATGACTACATTTCCATGCATTGCCCATGGCATGAAAAAATGATTATATCTTTCCATATTATGGTGAACCACATGCATTTTTAGTGATCATCAGCGGTAAGCCACAATTGCATGCTGATATGTTTGGTTTTCATTCGATGAACTGAGTAAATATATTTCGTTTGTAGGGAAAATAGATGCTTATCAGTTGTATTCTCTCTTCCGTTAAGACTACAGTTCATAAATGAAATAATTTCATGTGTCTGTTACCAAAGTAAAATTATTTTTTAGATGAAAGTAGTCAGTTTGTCTTCTGTAATATCATATTCCTTGTCAATTTTAAAACCATGAGTTGAGACGGTGGCTGAAAAAGTTAGTATATCTGTTAAATATCACATGATCACTACTTGGAATTCAAAATGCCCTTCTGAACACACTTTTTTCTTCTAAACTAGAACATTTATTAATATCTGAATGACCTGTAGAAATATTTCCTAATTCAATAATGATATATGATGATCAATAATGATTCGCCTCCTTCGCGTCTTCGGCAAAGTTGGGTCACCTTACCTTTCAGCTAGCTGAGGTGGTAGAAAGGTGGTCTGACACAAGGGATGGGGGTGGGGTGCTGTTGTTGTTTCGATTGAAATGAAAGTTTTAGATATGAGGTTCAAATCAAGTTTAATGATTTAAGAAATAAAATTTGCAATTATGATGATGATGATGATAATAATAATAATAATAATAATAATAATAATAATAATAATAATAATAATTACAAGGAATTATTACAAGACGGCCCGCAAAAGACGGAGATTAAAAGAAGCAAAACAAAATGCTGGAAGCCCTTATTAAACTATGTGAACAACGACCCTTGGGGAAAAGCCTACCAAATTGTTATGGGCAAATTTAAACCTTCAACAACCGCGGGTCTAGAAGACCCCGCACGGGTGAAGGCAATTATCAAAGACCTTTTCCCTAGCCGAGAATGCTGGGTAAGAAGCAGACCTTCCGACTACCTCTTCGACGAAGCCAACCGCTTCACGAAGGACGAGCTAGTCCAGATGATGAAGACCAAGATTAGAACTGGAGCGGGACCTGACGGAATTCCCAACGCGGTCCTGGGGATAGTTGTAAAAGAATACCCAGAATGCCTTTTGAAAGCCTTTAACCAGTGCCTTGAACAAGGGATATTCTATAAGGGTTGGAAACATCAGAAGCTAATTCTCATGTGAAAGGTAACAAGCCAATCAATCGGACGTCATCGTTCAGACCTTTGTGACTGCTGGATACGATGAGCAAATTACTGGAGCGTTTGCTCCTTCTACGACTAAAGAGACATGTCCAATTTTCAACGAGACAGTTTGGATTTAGAAAGGGA